TTTCACAGACTGAGAAATCTTAGGATGTCTTACTTTATATAATTAGTCCACTTAGAGAAAGAGAAAATATTCTCAAAATTCAAAAAGCTAAAATTTAGCTCTTTTGGACTCTTGAGTTATAAGAAATTTTATCTGTCTTTATCTCTAAATAGTATCTGATGGTTGAATACACCCTCCTTCTTGAAAATTTTTTTTCCCTCACTCTCATAAGAGCATACTCCTAGTTTTTCTCTGACTTTAGGTCAGTCCTTCCCAGTCTCTTGTGAGTTCTCCTTCCTCAGACATCTGAGTGTTGGAGTGCTCTCTCTAGGTGATGTCATTCAGATCTGTAACTTTAAACACATTTGATAACTGTCAATTTTATATCTTCATTTATGACTTTATATCCTACATCTAGCCTATCTCTAAAATATAGTCCTAGTACATACGTTTCTCTCCTTCTCTACAGTCTTATTTCAGTACCACTCATCTGGTTATCTCTCATTGGCACCAGTGCAGCCACCTCCTAATTTTGTCTGCAGTCACTCTTGCCTCCTCTCTTAGAATCTGTTCTTTTTAAAGTAGCTAAAGTGACCTCTTTAAATCATAAGTCATATCTTGTCACCCTGGCTTCCCTTTATTTAAAACTATCCAGTCAATATCCAGACTTCCCATTACAGCTAGAATAAAATCCAAACTCTCATGGCTTACAAATGTATGTGAAGTACGTTACCTCTCCACCTTAAACTGTAATCTACCATCCTCTGCCCTGGTTCACCTGTACTGACCATATTTCTGTTTCTGAAGCACAGAAATTTATTGCTATTTTAAGGCTTTTATACTTCTTTGAAGAACACTCTTCCCTCAGATCTTCCCATTACTGCCTCATTCTGGCCATTTGGCTCAGATGTCATCTCAGAGAAATCTTCCTGCCTATCCTAGCTGAAGTATTGCACACCTCCTCACTCTTCTCAGCACGTGCATACCTGTTCTATCATCTTACCCTATTTTATGTAGACTGGCACCAAAAATAAATTTCACAAAAACCATATCATATCCTATCATCATCAATATGATTATAGTTAGTATTTTCAGGCATTTCTCTTGATAGCGAGTTATTTTACCAGAATATATGATTGTTTTTATACATATTGATCTAAATGTAATACTTATACGTAATGACTCACATTTTTGGCTGAATTTATTTGAACAGGAAACTTGGTCACTAATGTAAGTGGAAAATTGGTATTACTTGCCAAAATTGAAGCTAATAAAAACAAATACAATGAAAACTGCAGTTTAAACATTTTTTTTAATCTTTAGAAGCTCTGAGACTTAGGCTTGCTCTGTTGATAAAAGATGAACATTAAAGACCAACCGCATTAAACTGAGACTTTCTTGACATGGAAAAATTGAAAGAGAATTGTAATGAAAGTAACTTTCTCATCAAGCAATTCAGTGTAATGTAGTGTAGTCTGTCCTCTGAATTTACCAGTGCACTAAAACAAAACACTATTTTAGTTAATATGAAGTTGAAATAACTTAGGCCATGGACTAAGGTAAAAGTGTGCTAGTGAACTAATGAGAATTTCTAGGCGAAAAAAACCTAGAAACTCTGTTTATTTTAATCCTTTCCAAGGTGAATTGAATAGTATGAAACTATATTATTCAAAATTAATGTTTTGAGTATATTGCTGAGGAATTCTTCTAAATTACCAATTCCTACATTATAAAAAAAATGTATTTCCCAATTACTGAAAGAGTTTTGTGTGTTGGGCTCTCTGCTGAACACTTGACATATATTATCTGATTTAATCATATCCATTCTCTGAGAGGTAGAAGCATCTTCATTTTAAAGATGCTAAGATAAGATCTATAGAGGTTAGGTAATTTGTCTAAGATTCTATGATCAGCAAATCTATGTGATATATATATATATATATGTGTGTGTGTGTGTATATATATATATATATATATGTATGTATATAAAATATATTCTGTGAACTCAGATTTGCTGATCATAAAATTGTGTGTGTGTGTGTGTGTGTGTGTGTGTGTGTGTGTGTGTACAAAAACAGGGCCTTACTCTGTCATCCAGCATGATCACAGCTCACTGCTTGACCTCCCAGGTTCAAGCGATCTCCCACCTCAGCCTCCCAAGTAGCTGGGACCACAGGCATGCATCACTATGCATGGCTAACTTATTGATTTAGAGACAAGGTCTTGCTTTGTTGCCCAGGCTGGTCTTAAACTCCTGAGCTCAAGCGATCCTCCTGCGTCAGCCTCCCAGAGTCTTAGGGTTATAGGTGTGAGCCACCACGCCTGGCCTCAAAGACTATATATTCTTAAGCACTAAATCTTGTACTAAAAAAGACAAGGTGCAAAAAAATGCTATGACATAAATGTATGGTGAAGATGGTTGACCCAGAAGCATGTCTTTGGAAAAGAATCTCTAATTTTTTAGCTCTAAGAAATGGGAAATTACCCAAATGGCCACCAAATTGTTTGGAAACTTTTATTTTACGGCTGTTCTAGGCCTGTTCTAGTGTATTCCATTTGACAGGATAGCTTTACTGTTCCCTTTATTTAATTTTTATCTTAACATTTGACAATTTTTTTTCAGAAATAAATTTAAATTCTAATTATGGTATGTTACCACCTCACAATACAAATGAATATAATAATACTAACCTTGGGGCAGGGGAGCAACAGTGCCACCAGAGTATGTAAAGTCTGTGTTTTTTTTTTTTTCTTATAGTAGGGGGAATAGATTAGTGATGACACAGTCATAACTCCTTTCCTAGGCTAGTCCTTGGTAGTGTCTAGGCAAGGTACAATCTAGAAAACAATTTGGTTTTTGTTTTTTGGGGGTTTTTTTGGCAGGTTTTTGACTTTGTTTTTGCTCGAGACAAAGTCTTGCTCTTTCGCCCAGGCTAGAGTGTAGTGGTGTGATCATGGCTCATTATAGCCTCTAACTTTTGGCCTGAAGCAATCCTCCTACCTTAGCCTCCCCAGTAGCTAAGACTATAGTCACACCCCATGCCCAACTAATTTTTTTTTTTATGTCTTCTAGAGACAGGGTCTTGCCTTGTTGCCCAGGCTGGTCTTGGACTCCTGGGCTCAAGGGATCCTCCCACCTTGGCCTCCCAAAGTGCTGAGATTACAGATGTGAGCCAACCTAAAAGATAATTTGAAGGTTGCAAGATAGACACATGATTTCTTCCCCTCCCTCCTTTATTCTGTTTTTCTCTTTGGATTGGTTTAGATCATCAGAGGGCTTTTTTTGTTTGTTTGTTTTGTTTTTTTGCTTTCAGAAGAATTGCAGTAACTAAGTTTCTCCCTATTATCCACTTGATTAAAATTGAGGATTATAATTAAGAATTGCCATTTAAAACCTGCTAATGCATTTACTGTAGGGATGTTGTTGAGGACATCACTGTAGTTAGTCATTGGACCCTACACAGAGACAACTATATAGGATATTTTTCATTCTGAGTGTCATAGAAAGCTTAGTCACTTCTATAACTGACAATATTATTTGTGTTGCTTGACTGCCAGGAAGCTTCCATTTTTATTTTCCTATTTTATCATGCTATTTGCATAAGATACCTCACATCTTGACAAGAAGTAAATAATATTGTGCTTTCAGGGAGACGTCTCTCATATTTTCAAAGATTCGAAACATTTACCTAAACCACTGTCTATTGTATTTATTAGCAAAACATAATATAGCTCCTCATTTCTGCTAATTTTGCTCATATGAATTTGACATTAAATCGTACATCTTTGTATGCAAAAAATACTTAAATATTACTTTACATACCTATACTTTAATTGTAATAGTATACTTATGTTTTATTACTATTACTGAATAGTCCACATTAAGATACAACTTAATTATTTTTAATTCTGGGAAGTTATATTTAAAAACTATTTATAACCTGTAACAAGAGTATCTTGGTTTTTGGTATTTAAGAATGAGCTATGTTCACTGTTTCTCTTACCAAACTCAGTCAAACTCTCTCATTATTTCTTTGATACCTCTGTCTAAAATAATTGATACTTTATGTTTGAAAACATCTCATTTTGAGACTATAATCTAATTGGTAATTTTAATGAAATTAATTTGTTTATAAATGTGTATATTGTTTCATGGGTATATCATTGCTTTCTGTTTGTAATATTTCTCAGTATTTGTTCATTTTTTATGATACTGTTCTTTATCTGGTAATTTGAGTAAATCCCAGTTGAATTATGTTGCCACATTATGTCTTCAAAAGGGCAGAAAGTCAGTACACATGCTTCAGTAATATCTGGTTGTTTTACCCTTATGTTTCCAGTTGGCAATTTGAAATTATGGCTTCAACTGCACTTTAAATATGTGATAATAGCATGTGTTTCTAATAAGGGCCAGCATCATTTTGTTCAGATAGTGTGAATGGTTGTCACTCATATATGACAAATGCACCTTCATCTGCTTCTTTGATAGCCCCCTAAAAACCATACCCTCAAATCAGGCCGATGAAATTAGCTGCTGTGTAAATTGTGTGTCTGAGTGGTTCATTATCTAATCACCGTCAGAACCATAGTGATAAAGTAGATTGAAGCAGGGAAGAGGTCTGCCAGATGATTTCAGACCCCCCCCCAAATCTGGTTTCCCTTGGAAACCCTAATCATGCAGTTTAGAACTTCAGTCTTTCATGCCTGGAATTCAGTATCTTTTAATGTACCAAAGTTGGAAATGCCAGTAGTTCTGGAACATAATTTTGTTTTTGTAAAGACTATAATTTTATTTATTTAAATCAATTTTTGAAATATTGAGGCTCTTGAACTACTCTTTTGTTGCTAGTAGCTTCAGTATTACTAAATGAGGGAAAAAATGCTGTGTCCTACTTGCCAAGAAGCCAGAGTAATTTATTTATTATATTTATTTGTTAACCTTCTAGGGATCTCTCACTCTAATCATAATGAACCCTCTGTATTATTTGTTTATTGAATTGCTTCCCTTTAATTCATTTCAGGTGCTTTTGAAGATGATGATATCACTCATGTTGAAGGAAGTGTAGATCCTATTCGAGATATAGAAATAATACATGAAGAGCTTCAACTTAAAGATGAGGAAATGATTGGGCCCATTATAGATAAACTAGAAAAGGTGGCTGTGAGAGGAGGCGATAAGAAACTAAAACCTGAATATGTAAGTAAAAATTTCAGCTTCTTTAAACACTCAAGAGTTTATTTTTCTTGATTAAATGTTTAAAATAATGCATATGACATGTCTAATATGGGTATGGAATTTTAGAAGCCAAGGGTTATTTCTGTGTAAAAAAATTGTTAAGAAACTTTATTTTAAAACAACCGAGGGCCATGGTGATAGGCTATTTAGGGGGTTCTGAGCAAGCAATAGCTAGCAGTAATAATGAGTGTTTTATATGATTACTATGTAGATCTTCAAGTTTTAGTGTGAATAAGATGTGGTTTTATGATGAAAAATTTACGGGATTTGGAGAAATGACTCATACAGGTTTCATGGATTTGAAGAAGTGATTTATACAAGGAATTGGTTCTCCATAGGGGTTGACTAAATGAATACACTCTTAAAGTAGACAGATCATTATACTCTTGTATGGAATGAAAACATGCATCATTGCTCTTAATATTCAAATGTGTTTTCACATTAGAATGAATAATTATTAGTAATGTTATAATAAATGTTACAAAATGTATTTTGAAGCTTTTAGTTTACATATGATTGAATTGTTTTTAACATTTAAAAAACAATGCCCTGGCTGGGTGTGGTGGCTCATGCCTGTAATCCCAGCACTTTGGGAGGCTGAGGCAAGTGGATCACCTGAAATCAGGAGTTCAAGACCAGCCTGGCCAACATGGCGAAACCCCATCCCTACTAAAAACACAAAAATTAGCTGGGTATGGTGGCGGGCACCTATAATTCCAGCTACTCAGGAGGCCGAGGCAGGAGAATCACATGAACCTGGGAGGCAGAGGTTGCAGTGAGCAGAGATTGCGCCACTGCACTCCAGCCTGAGTAACACAGCAAGACTCCATCTCAAAAAAATTCACAGTGATGGTCTCGTAAGATTATAACATCAGATTTTTTCTATACCTTTTCTATGTTTAGATACACAAATACTTATCATTGTGTTACAATTGCCTACAGTATTCAACACAATAACATGCTGTACAGATTTGTAGGAGCAATAGGATATACCATATGCCCAAGAGGTATAGTAATCTGTACAATCTATGTTTGTGAAAGTATACTCTGCGTTCTTTGCACAAGGACAAAATTGCTGAAAGACATATTTCTCAGAACAGTATCCTCATCATTAAGCGCTGCATGACTGTAGTTTCTTTCTTTGGGAACTGTATCAGGAGACACACATCAGAGAGTAAGGAATTGAAACTCGCAAGAGAAAGTAACCAACACAAAGTATGTAAATTAGCAGATTACCCCCATGGGTAGCTGGGGCTCAGTCCAGCTAGGAGCCTCTGGAAAAGCAGTATGGAAAGTTCCCTGTAATTTTCTACTGCAAGAGTGAGGAAGCTGGGATAATTATCGACCAATTTATACAGTTAAGGCTATGGGTTACTCCTAGGAGTGTTAACTTCCTGGTGCCTGATGTCTTTGTGGTTTGATCATAGAGTTTAGGCAGACTAACAAATGCTTACCTTAAGCCATCACCATGTATTGGACCTGTGAGGGCAAAGGGGATATGGGCAGGGTAATCCTGTAATCCCAGCACTTTGGGAGGCCAAGGCAGGTGGATCACCTGAGATCAGGAGTTCAAGACCAGCCTGGCCAACATGGTGAAACCCCATCTCTACTAAAAATACAAAAATTAGCCAGGTGTGGTGGCACACACCTGTAATCCCACCTACTCAGGAAGCTGAGGCAGGAGAATCACTGGGACCTGGGAGGTGGAAGCTGCAGTGTTCCAAAATCACACCCCTGCACTCCAGCCTGGGTGACAGAGTGAGACTCCATGTCAATTTAAAAGAAAAGAAAAGAAAAAAAGTGGATACCTATATGATTATGATATCAACTGGTTACTGTAGGGAAGTATCTTTTAGAAATATATTTCTTATGTTCTCTAGCAAATGGTCTAATAGCATAAAAATGTAATAGAAAAGAGATCGCTACTTGAAAGTTATGAGAAAGATAGGCAGGTTATTTTGTTTACCAGGTATTTACCTGATTATTTTTTAATATTGTTGATTCTTCCTGTTCATTAAATGTATCTTTTTTATTTTCTGGGTAATCTTTCATAAATTCAACATTCAAACCTCTTTCTCTATGAAGTTTCTAGTTTCTAGATTTGGATGTCATTTATATTTTTATGTTAATAAGCATGAAAGACTTGGGTTAAATATACTCTAGCATGAAACATGAGCCAACTTTTTAATGCTAAAGCAGAGCTTTTCCTGACAGCAAGTTTGATCTATTCTGATATAAGATATATCTTTCTGCTTCCCTGATTCAAGCGATTCTTCTGCCTCAGCCTCCCGAGTAGCTTGGACTATAGGCCTGTGCCATCATGCCTGGCTCATTTCTTTTATATTTTTAGTAGAGACGGGATTTCACCGTATTGGTCATGCTGGTCTTGAACTCCTGACCTCGTGATCTGCCCGCCTCTGCCTCCCAAAATGTTGGGATTACAGGCGTGAGCCACCGCGACCGGCCAAGATAACACCTTTCATAATGAGTCTTGCTGTCTGGAGTAAAGCCCAGGCACTAAAGAAGGCAGTAGTGGGATAAGCATTTTCTCTTGGTATCAGCCAGGTGTGTTTGTTTCTTGGGTTGCCATAACAAGCATCACAAACTGGATGGCTTTAAACAACAATTTCTTCTTTCCCCATTCTGGAGGACGAGAAGTCTGAAGTCAGGGTGTTGGCAGGGCCATGCTCCCTCTGAAGGCTTTATGGGGGAGAAGTTCTAGCTTCTGGTAGCTCCAGGCATTCCTTGCCTTGTGGCAGCAGAACTCCAAATTCTGCCTTAGTCTTCACATGGCCACATTTCCTATGTGTCTCTGTCCAAATTTTCCTCTTCGTATAAGGACATGAGTTATATTGGCATATGAGCCCACTTTCCTCTAAGTATGGCTTCAGCTTAATTAATTCCCAAATAAGTTTACTTTCTGAGTATCAGGAATGGGGGATTCAATCTATAATACCAACTCATCAATATCAAGGTTAATTTTAAATCTATTTAAGTGTATGTACATTCCATTTGGAAAAATGAAATTTGAAAAATGAAGTTAGGCTTAAAGGAACAATTTATTTTGTATCCGTTATTTGGAAAGCATTATAGTTAGAAAATATTCATAGAACTAATAGTTATCTAATTGAAGAATCAAAGGCCACCAGAAATTATAATTGAGTCTTTTTTTCTGAAAATATTTGGGTAAAAAATCAATGTCCTCAGTAATATGTAGCTATTAGCAGATTTCTTCTTATATTCCTAAGGCAATTTTAAAAACTTGTATTGACATAAGTTTTTTTGTTTTTGTTTTTGTTTTTTAAGGCGGAGTCTCACTCTGCACCCAGGCTGGAGTGCAGTGGCACAATCTTGGCTCACTGCAACCTCCGGCTTCCTGGGTTCAAGCGATTCTTCTGTCTCAGCCTCCCGAGCAACTAGGACTACAGGTGTGCGCCATCATGCCTGGCTGATTTTTTTTGTATTTTTAGTAGAGATGAGGTTTCACCACATTGGCCAGGCTGGTCTCTAACTCCTGACCTCGTGTTCCACCCACCTTGGCCTCCCAGAGTGCTGAGATTACAGGCGAGAGCCACCGCGCCCAGCTTAACATAATTTTTGAAATATTTAAGGTATTTGTTTTTAATGAAAATTGAAAGATTCAGAGTAGCATACATGCATACGTATCGATCTTCACTTTATTTGGTTCCACAGGTATTGTAGGCTTTGGGGGTTTTTGTTGTTGTTTTACAAATTGGAGGTTTGTGGCAACCCTGTGTTGAGCAAGTCAGTGCCATTTTTCCAACAGCATGTCCTCCTTTTGTGTCTCTGTGTCACAGTTTGGTAATTCTTACAATATTTTAAACCTTTTATTATTATAGTATCTGTTAAGGTGGTCTTTGATCAGTGATCTTTGATGTTCCTGTTATAACTGCTTTGAGGAGGCATGAACCATGCACATAGAAGGCAGCAAACAATGGATAAATGTTGGGTGTGCTCTGATTGCTGCACCTACTGGCTGTTTCCCATCTCTTTCCCTCTCCCGGGTTGTCTGTGTTCCCTGAGACACAACATTGAAATTGGGCCAAATATTAATGATACCCCTACGATGGCTTCTAAGTGTTCAAATGAAAGGAAGAGTCACATCTCTCACTTTAAATCAAAAGCTAGAAATGATTAAGCTTAGTGAAGAAGGCATGTTGACAGCCAAGATAGGCTGAAAGCCAGTTCTTTTGCACCAGTTAGCCAAGTTGTGAATGCAAAGGAAGAGTTCTTGAAGGAAATTAAAAGTGCTCCTCCAGAGAACACATGAATGAGAAGAAAGGAAAACAGCTTTATTGCTGATATGGGGAAACAGTTTTGTTTTGGTTTGGTTTTTTGACATGGTGTCTTACTGCATTGCCCAGGCTGGATCCAAACCCCTGGGCTTAAGTGATCCTCTCACTTCAGCCTCCCAAGTAGCTGGGATTTCAAGTGTGTACCACCATGCCTGGCTAATATGGAGAAAATTTTAGTGTTGTTGATAGAAGAGTAAACTATCCACAATATTCTCTTAAGTGAAAGATTAGTCCGGAGCAAGGTCCTAACTCTAATTATAGAGTTAGAAAACTGAGAGAGGTGAGGAAGCTGCAGAAGAAAGGTTGGAAGCTAGCAGAGGTTGTTTCATGAGGTTTAAGAAAAGAAGCCATAGTCCTAATATAAAACTGCAAGGTGAAGCCTCAACTGCTGATGTAGAAGCTGCAGCAAGTTCTCCAGAAGGTCTAACTAAGATCATTGATGAAGACAATGAAAACAACAGATGTTCAATGTCGACAAAAGAGCCTTGGAAGAAGAGGCCATCTAGGAATTTCATAGCTTGAGAAGAGAAGTCAATGCCTGGCTTCAAAGGATAAGCTCACTCCCTTGTTAAGGGCTAAGGCTGTTGGTGACTTTAAGTTGAAACCAATGCTCATTACCATTCTGAAAATCCTAGAGCCCTTGAG